GTCAAGAGCCAGCGACTAAGCTGGCTATAAAATGTTGTCCAGATGGAATCGAACAGAAAACAGAAGAACCAAAAGAGGAAGACCAAGAGGGGAAGGTAATGGTTTTTACTTAATATCTCCAATTGTGGGCAAACGATGAAGAATTACTGGTTACAAGAATAAGAAAATACTGAGTTTTAGAAGTTGGGATCCCATTTGTCGCCCATAAATCGGAGTTTAGTAAGAGTGGAAAATGAATTTAGAACATTCTACGCAGTTATTAATTTTTTAATGAGATTTCAAAAACAAGTTCTCAATACTAAATATATATATATATATATGTTAAATGTTTCAAATTAAAAATGTTGTAAAGTCGATTTCAAACTGGTGTTGAAAACACAATTCACAGTATTTTAATTAACGCCACAAATTTAAATTCAGCCATCAAGAGAACAGCAAAAATTCGTTTGTTGTGAAGTGATGAAATACAAAAAGAAAAATAATATTTATATATATATCTATATAAATATTTGTACGAAATAAAATACTAAGAAAAATATATTCTGTATGTCGATTGTGCTAAAGAAATCATTAAAATGTTATTTGATATTAAAATATCAATATCCAACAATTACAAAATAGGATGTGTTGAACATTGAACCTAACAAATTTAATTGAATATTCACGGAGGAAGGTGTATATATATGTAATACTTTGATATACATACATACATTCATTGTTTGTATGGAATAGCCTTTTCTCTTTGCAATGCCACTGAGTGACAGGCGGAAAAAAAGCTGTCAGTTTTATATTACATCATCCATGTGGCCTTGGTTTGTTTTTCGATTTACCATATTTCGTATTTAATTTGAGGCCTTTTACCACAAACTCTTTTACTTTTTTTTTTTTTAAATTATTGTTTATAAGAGCTATGTATATACATATGATTTTATTTTCATATTGGTTGTTAACCGGAAACGAGAATATCATGGTGGTTATACCAACCAGGTACATATGTATTTGTACGTATGTACGTTTACACACATTTATGTATGCCATGTGAGCAGTAATATTTAGAGATAACTACAGGAGATATAGCACACAAAAACAAAAAAAAAAAAAAAAAAAAAAAAAAAATTATGCACTGTGGGAGTTTCATGCACATACACATATATTTATATATATGATTATTAGTTGTGGCATCATTATTTTAATTGAATATGTGTTCTTTGTATAAAATTTCTTAACTTTTCCACAGAATATAAAACTAGAAGATTTTATCTGATTTTTAATACTTTGGGAACTATATATATATACATATACTTACAAATATAATTGGCGCTTTGCAGCTACTGAAGCGATGGAATGAACTGCAATCTAATTTAGCCGCCTCTGTAGGAAAGATATTTTTTTAAGAGAATTTTTTATTTCAACTCGGATTCACATTTGTAGTAGTTGAAAGTACCAGACGACGCACAGTGTGCTATTGGTCGATTCTAGTGGAGCTTACGGCAATATAAATAAATAATATCAATAATAATATAATTTTATTTACGGTTTAGCTAAATATTGGTACAATATAAAGTTTACTTACTTACTTTACTCACGTAGACACCGCTTCCGCGATTATAGCCAATTTACAACTGTGCGCCATTCGTTTCTTCTTTTTGCTGTTTGGCTCCAATTGGAAATACCAAGTATAGCCAGATCTTTCTCTAGCTGGTCTTTCCTCTGCTTCCACCGGCGGTTACTGCATCAAAAACTTTCAAAGCTGGAGTATTCGCATACATCCGGACCACATGACCTAGCCCGCGTAGCCGCTGTTTCTTGATTCGTTGAATTATATCAAAGTCGCCGTATAACTCATACAGCTCATTGGTCCCTCGTTTGCGATGCACGCCGTTGCCAATGCTCAAAGGACCATAAATCTTACGCAAAACCTTTCTCCCGTCTCATTGGATACTGTCTCGTCCATGCTTCCCCACCATTTGGCATCGCGAGTATGATGAGGGACTTGTAGAGTTTGGCTTTCGTTCGTCGGGAAAGGACTTTACTTTTCAATTGCCTGCTCAGTCCAAAGTAGCACCTGTTGGCAAAAGTGATTCTGCATTGGACCTCAGGGTTGACATTCTTGTTGGAATTGATGCTGGTAACCAGATAGACGAAATTATCTACGACTTCAAATTATGACTCTCAATAGTGACGTGGGAGCCAAGTCGCGAATGCGATGACTGTTTGTTTGATGACTGGAGATATTTCGTCTTGTCCTCGTTCACTACCAGATTCATTCGCCTCGCTTCTTTATCAAGCCTGGCGAAAGTAGAACTAACGGCGCGGTTGTTGAGGTCTATAATGTCAATATCATTGGCGTACGCCAGTAATTGTACGGTCTTATAGAAGATTGTACCTTCTCTATTCAGCTCTGCAGCTCTTATTTTTCTTTCCAGCATCAAATTGAAGAAATCACACGACAAAGAGTCATCCTGTCTGAAACTTGGTTTGGTATCGAACGACTCGGAGAGGTCCTTTCCAATTCTGAATGTGCTTGTGGTGTTGTCTAGCGTCAGCTTACTCAGCTATTTTAGTTTTGCGGGTATACACAATATAAAGTTAGACACAAAAAAAAAGATTGGCAACACTGTTTTCATAGGAGAAGCTTCGAAATAAGGGAATTGCACGTAATGTCAATTGTCTTTGTTACTTTTTTACTTAAAGTAAACTAAAATTATACCTCGTATATAACGTGGTATGTTCCGAAGACTTTAAGAGCACTGAAAATCTTTATTAGGGATTTTAGTACAAGAAATTGCAGAGCAGTAGGCAGAGAATCAAAAACGGTTCGAAGGAGAAGTTGCGTTTCTACCTGAATTCCTCGATTCACTGTCATCTTGTAGCCATTTGAGTATTGACCGAATTTCCTGAGTCGGGCGATCTGAGAAATCTTTCAATGGCTGCCATGTATAAAACGAAAATTAAAAGAACTCATTGTCACATCATCTCAGGAAGAACTAAACTTAGCGTCTCAGATAAAATTATTATCATCGTAAAATATAGCTTACCTTAATGGAGAATGAATATCATCGCCGTCCCGAGCGACAAAAATGAAGAGATTGAAAAAAATCTAATTACTTTATTTCTAACCTAACAACAGTCTTTTTTATTGCAAGCTCAGACTAATCAGGCTAACTTCTTGGGTTTTGCAATGCCATACGACTAAAGTCATGGAGAATTTGGATATGACGCACTCAAATATTAAGTTTCATTTTATTCTCGGAGAAGATGGTCTATACTACTTACGTCTTCTAATTTGACTACTCAACAAAAATTTCTAAGAGGAGCGAAGGGAAAGTATAACAGTTGTGTATCAAAATCCGTAACCGTCTTCATAGACCTATCTAAACGGGATTGCAAAATTGGTTGTGGAATTTACTCTGAGCCTTTTACTATCGAAACAAGCAAGGGACTTCCCGACCATTGTAGCGTCTTTCAAGCGGAACCAATCGCCATAACACAAGCCGCTCATACAATAACTCAACCTACAAAAATATATTCTGACAGCCAAGCTGTCAACAAAAACAAGGGAGTCAATAAAACGCATAAAGATCTTAAACAAACTCTCGGCTAACTCCCTAGTCATAGCGACAACCCAGAGAGCTGCATTGTCGACTCACAGAGCAGAAAGGTTAGGCTAGGCGTAAGAGCCTTCACCAGAATAGCAGATAGCAGATGGTAGAGCAGAATCACGTGCAACGTGACCAGACAAATCTGGCCATTGATCGAGGTATAGAGAACTAAGTCTTACTTTCTTTAAAACAGTTTTGAATCCTCATTAGCATAAGAACTGGTATAATAAGCGGACACTATTTAAGGGGACTCATGGTGATGGGATGGGCTGCTTCTCAAACGACTTTTGCCCGTAGCGTAATGGACAAAAATGAGGAGGAATCGCTGGAAAATTACCGCCGCCACTGCCAAGCACTAAATATGGCCAGTTATAGTTTTCTCAGATATTTATTATTCAATTGCCTTGCAAAGTTTGCATCGGTAGGCTTTATTAATGACCTAAATTTCATTTGGAAAGCTGACAGAAATCTCCTTCGCAGGACCAAGTGCGCCTGATCTGGATTTCGTGGCTCAAAAATTTAAAGCTTTGTAACCTTCCAAAATTTCAGCAAATATTCCCTTTTTTAATTGAAGCAAATTTTCGGTCATAAGATTTCTGTTGTTGTGGTACTTTTGGTGAATTTACTTCTCTCGGTGCCTTTAGGCTTAATTACAAAGAGAATATTTAATTTGCTTTTAAAGAAAGCCAGCTGCAGAAACTTGAACTTGACTGATGTGCGCTATGTGCTCTGACATACATAGATATTTCGTACATTGTATGTATATGTATGTTTATATAACTGTATATATATGTGTAAGAGTATAAGTTCATTTAAATTTTGATCCCCTTCAAAAAGTGCGAAAATCTTTTGGAAAATTCATTTCATGCTGTGCCGCTCGCTTTGAGCGCTAAAGTTTTACGGTAGAAAGAAATATATTTAAATGTTGTTGAAATGCAAAAATGCATTAACTGATGTTTTTCCAAATTTCCAAATATTTTTTTTTAATGTTTGTGATGTGTCTTTCCTTAAGGCTCTTATCAATAATGAATTATTAAAAGCTTTTTTCTAAAAAGCTCTAGCTAAGCGAGTAAAATTTCATAAAAGCAAATTTTTTAAATTAATTTTTATTTATAATTTTATTTGAGCTTCTTTCAAAATTTAAAAATTACCACTTAGTGCCTTTTACGTAACACATGGCAATTTTTTTTCCTTTCTCTTTTGAGTATAAAACCATTAACTTGTGTGCGGTTAAAATGCGCTTTCGCGGCATCCTTTCTGTCTGTCTTCCCCCGCTCCTCACTCTCACTCTCCCTCACCCTAAGCCCATTGCTATATATTTCCACATTTATTTTTCAACATTTCGTGTATTTTTTATTAATACTCTGTTTGTTTCTTTTTTTTTGACTATATTTGCAGCTTTGATGTACGCGATAAAGTGAATAACGACCAACCGCGGCATTGGTCAGCGCCGGAGGTGTTCGGTTCTCGTGCCAAATTTCACTTCGATTCACAGCCGGCAACATTGGAAATTAAGGTAGGTTGGTATGCCGGTTGCTCGCTGTGTGAGCGCTGGTGGGCCAATAGGCCGATGCCTGGCACAGTGCCTTGTCACTTTTTAAATAAATGAGTGATAATAAATATATTTTGGCCAAGCCAACTGCTGAATGTGCGAAAACACAACGCCAATCCAACTAACGAAATTCAACACTCAGAGCAAGGAAGAGAGAGAGAGAGAGAGCGCGAGGGAGTCACAGGTAAAGTGGCGAGTGCTAAGTGCACACTTGGGTGAGTTACTGTGGGTTTGGGTTTTTAATTTGGCCGCAGTGGACCTACACATCAAATCGGGCACAAACGTGTGGTTGGAAAAGTACGACAATCGGCAAAATGAAAGTGAAATATGTTCGGTCATTTTGTTGTTTACGCGGTTAATTTTGAAAATCGAAATAAAACGCCCCCAAGCAGGAATTAAGCAATTCGCTCTTAACATATACATACGTACATACCGACCTATTATATATATGTACATATAAGTCATATATAAAAAAATATGTATGTATCTGTTTGTATTTTTCTTTAGGGGATTTTTGGTGATTAAAACATGCACACATATAGACACCCACTCTCACATACACACACACACACACACACACTCTAAAATGCTTACAAATTGCATCACTTTGCCTAGAGTGGTGGGTGGAAAGTGATTTCGAGTGGCGCGACGTCTAGTGAAATATGCGCGACATGGCAAAATAATTGCCTTTAATCTTGATTATTTATTAAGCGTACGATTTTGTTGGCGTTCAGCTATAGCGGTGGTTTTAACAATTTTTCGCTATGACTACTTTACTGTTTAGTGTTGTTGTTGTGGCAGTTAATTCAACTTAAATGATTTAAAGAGCGTAAATATGAGAAGATTTTAATAATTGGGGGGATTTGGAAGCGAAATTCGATGATTTTGTTGGGTAAATCATTTTCTAATTAAGACATATTTAGGTATATTAATTAAGAGATTATTTATTTTTTGGAAAAGGCCACTTCAGGTGGTATAAATTGTGAAAACTATACAAATTTATAAAATTCTTAGAGCATTAATTATGATAGAAATTTCTCAAATTAAAAGAGAATAAATTTTTTGCTTATAAAAAATTTGAAGATTTATTAATTTATGAAAAACCCTATAAAAACAAATTTCTTGAAAAATCTGCATAAAGTGTTTTTCAAAAGCAACAGCCTTCTGTTTGTGGTTGAAAGCAGATATATGCACAATTAAATCAAATGTAGAAAACTCTTCCAAAACTCTTTCGAAAATCGAAGATTTAACCATGGTACAATAATTTAAAGGTAGTTTCATTCTCTCTTCGCATTCGGCGTCCTCTTCTCCCAAAAAAATTCTACTATTTTTAAATGAAAAATATGTGGAGAATTTCCATATTTTTTTTAAAGTTTAAGCATTCAAAAATCACGTATTAAATCATATTTTCCAACCTCTGATAGTGTATGCTTTATAAGATTGTTTATTACAACTTTAGAAAATATTAAGAAAGTAACCGAAAGTGAGAAATTCGGCCAACAAAATTTAAATCGAATTCAAGGAGAAGAGGAACTGAGTGGAATTTCTATAACTACGTTTGAATGTAAATCAGTCTCATAATTTTAGAGTTCTTTCAAGGAAATTTTGTAAGCAAACAGGATATTGTTTTAAGAATTGTTGGTTTTTAGATCAGTGAAAATTCTATATAAAAATTGCGTAATTACGCTAAAATTCGATGAAACTTTCAAACATTTTTGAATTCAATCTAACCGCGAAATATATTGATATTAGTCAGTTATGATAGTTAGCTAAACGGCTTGTTCGATCACGCCACCTTGATCTCTTGATGATACCTATGTTGGTTCTATGAAAAAGATTGCCTCATCTTTCCAGATGCTCAAACCACTTGGTGTATTTTGTGAAGTTAAGGAGGTTAATGATGCCCGTGTGTATCTTACCAGTGGGTTTTACTATCCCTATCAGGTAAGCTCATTGATCCCGCAATTTTCTGGGTGTCCATAAGACGAGGGACCCAACCCACGGATACTTCGCAAATAGTAGAAAAGACCTAAGCTTTCGAAAAAAAAAGTCAAAAGACATCAACTAATTTCATTTTATTTATCTGTCTGGAAATTCGTTTTCCTACTTCTGAAACCTAAGAAAAACGGCTTAAAACTAAATATTTAAATATATCGTGTATACGTGTGTTCAATATTTTAGCAACTGCTTAGAAGGCAACCGCAAAAATAATTGAAAAATGTCCGAGTTGAAAATTTTTTAAGTGGCAAGCTCAAACATTTCTGAACAAACACGTTTAGTGTCAAAAATTTCAAAGTGATTTCAACTTTAAAAGTCACAAATGTGTTGCTGTTATATATATATAATATAATTGGTACCGAGCTCTTCTTCCAATTTGTGGAGAGAGCTATAGTTTATTCTAAGCCACCTCCGAACGGTCGATGGATTTTTATGAGGATCCCATGTCCACCAAATTAAGATAATGTGTTCCGGGAGGATGGTTTTCTTCATTGAGAAGATAAAGTGAAGTAGAAGTTGATTTCAGAGAGTGCCGCTAATAAGTCAAAGTCAGGGAAATGAAGAATCATGAGTCGGTTTTATTACGTTATGCGAATCTAAGTAAAATAAGAGTTGAGTCCAAGATAATGGATTTCCACTAAGCCAATCATTGACTTAGCCTGTGTGACATACCTCAAGAGAGGCGTTGCCGCTACATGTATATATAATAGCCGTAAGAGAGACAACGAGAGCGACTTGATTTTCTCCCTAGAACTGACTACGTTAACTTCTCGCACAAGGTTGCCAGTATAAACTTTTAAACATAAATTTTAAGAAATTCAGCACGCACATTTTTTTTTCATAAAAACTAGAAACTAAAAATTTAATTTATTATTTATTATAATATTGCTTAAGTACATATATGTGATTGGCTTCACGAAAAATTAAAATTTATTTAAAAGTATTCAATGACAGTGCCAGGAGGTAAAATTCCGCCATTGACAATATTTTACTTACCGTCAGAAAAGGTAGCTGTGTAAGAAATCACACGTACAGAGTAATGTTGGATCTTTGTATGGTGCATGCTGGGGAGTTTTGATGCGTATTAATCATCAGAAATAATAGTACCATGGGGACCTTCAATGGCAAGGAGAGCTATTTTATCGGTTTCACCACATAGACCATGATAGGGTGGCAAACGGCCGTTAGATTTTTATGAGAATCTTTTCATTTCATGCAAGAAATACACTCGGAGGGCTCGTCATTCCTTTCCGAGGAACGATCGCAATTAGAGGTTTCTGCATTGGACTGCAAATCGAACAATGTCATCCACTCAGTTATTGCAGCTGCTCTGTTGATTAATGTCTACAATAGTTGAGCTGAAGTCAAGCGTGGGTGGAAGTAAAAAAATCACTTAAACGGGGAAAATGTGTTTTTGCTGTTTGCAGCAATTCCATTCATACTAGTCAATGTGGATTGTGGACGTGAACTTGGGGGCATTTCATTTATTCGCATTTGTAATATGTGATCAACGTTTCCTTAAAATAAGTCATATTCTAATTGAATGTGAATGGTGAGCGCCACCGTGAGATATCAAACTTTTTTTGCCTTTTCTTTTGACTTGAATGACTTGTGGTTTCAACAAGACGGTGCCACACAGCAAGCGTAACAATGGACTTATTGAGAGGCGAGTTTATTTCACGTTCGGGACAGGTCTGTTAACCACCTAGATCGTGCGATTTAACCCCTTTAGACTATTTTTTGTGGGGCTATGTTAAATCTTATGTCTAGACAGACAAGCTCGCTTCAATTGGCGCATTTGAAGAAAAGAACAACATTGAAGCATTTATTCGTCAGACACCAGCCGAAATGTTGGAAAGAGTATCCCAAAATTGTACCAGGCGGATGAATCATTTGAGGCGCAGTCAGCGTCAGCATTTGCATGAAATATTCTTTGCACATTAAACAAATGGAAAACCCCTCTTGGTGAAAGTAATCGATACCATCTAAATAATCAATACCATCTAAATCTGGCCATAAAAAGTTATTTATCATCTCTATTTATTATCGAAAAAGTAAAGACGAATGACCCCGCCGGACCATAAACCGCACCAAACAGTTACAAGTTGACGATGGAAAGGCTTTTCACCATTAAATCTTGGATTTTCCGAGCCCCAGTTGCGACAGTTTTGCCTATTGACATAGCCATCGAGGTGTGAATAGATCACATCAGCAAAAATGTTTTGTCGATGAGATTTTCGCAGTGATTTTAAATAATTTCCAAGCGCTGCTGATGCGTGTAAGGTTTTTACTTGTCAAATGTCAAAAAAATTATGGCTTCAGGGGTGAAATCTACCGGAATAGCAAGCTATTCAAAACAACCCCTCTTATTGGTAAACACTATTACTTAATTGGGAAATAAAAGGCAAGTTCCGTACGAGAAAAAACTCCTTCAGGAATTTGTATTTCAAATTATTTCTTATATCTCAATCCCTCCTTTAATGAAAAAAATACCAGATTTTCATTAATATGCCACTAATTTGCATTTTTGTATTGTTTAGTTGATCTTCATCGGCCGCAATAGCCGAAGGATTAGCATTGCGTACTGTTAAAGGGAATGTCAGGGTTCGAATATCCTGATTCAAACAACATTCGTAATTAATTTTTTCTAATTACGGCACGGAATGTTAAGCTTTCCGAGTGTTTTCCTGATATGAAATAAAAGCCCTTCATAAAAATCCTACCACCGTTTGGAGGCCCCTCAGAATAAACTGCAGGTCCCCCATATGTTGGAAAATATCAAAATGCATTTAAGAAATTCGAGAAGGAGCTCGGGTGAAAATAAATTCTTTGGTTATATCATAATGCGATGTTTTACCTCGTGCTCTAAGATAGGGCAAATTCTACAGCTTGATTTGAGCCCGGCATGACAATGATAGCTTCTAACCATTCTGCTATCTGGACTATGCGTCAAGTAACCAATTTTG